GCGTGCTCACTACCGCCCCCCCCCCCCCTGACATAAAATCCGAGGTACGCGCTTGATGAAATATGGTTATATGAAAATTTTATAAGCTACCAAAAAAGATTATGAAACGTTCGCGTTATGATGTGCATATTCATGTAACCGTTCAAAGATCTGGGCCCCGTCTTATAAAGAGTTATTGATCCAATTCAATCGCAAGTCCTCCAATCAATCGCAAGTTTGCAGCAGTATCCTGTATCTCAGTTATAGGGATAATTGAGTTCTTGTTTCAGAACGCAAATGTCTTCAAAGTGCATGGTCATTGCTTTTATTCTTATTTATGACATTTTCTAGTGCCCTTTTAAGATCTAAAATTGCTATGAAGGTAATTTTAGAATTCAAAATGTGTAAAATTTAGCCAATACGATCATACCAATTCAGCCCCTCTTTTAAAAATTATGGTGACTGTAATGAATAAATTAATTAATAATAACAATACACGGACCGCCTGGTTTTCTGCGACATAAGGCGCTATTTCGTTTTTCAACGGCTAGTTCAAATTATCGAATATTAATTTTGTTGGGCACCACAAATATTAGAAATTGTTATATTTATGGATATTTCAGCCGTCTCTGAACTGATTTTGATCAAACAAAGATGATTCTGTCATTCAGTGGCGTAAGCAGGATTTTTTCAAGGGGGGGGGGGTTTAAAATCGGTATATATATATGTATATATATTTTTTTTAATAACAAATAAAATAAAGGGGGGGTCCCTAAAAAAAATCACAAAACATACACATAAAAAAAAACTCAAGGGGGGGGGTAACCTCAAACCACACCCCCCCCCCCCTCCCTGCGTACGCGCCTGCTGCCATTTAATTGTATATTCTTTCAAATTTGTTTTATACAGTAGGTTTGCGGGTGCACCATGTGAGAGAGAGAGAGAGAGTTGACTCGGTAATCTTTCTTGGGGATGTGTAGTCCTGAAAAGGACTGTTTGTTATCTTGCTTAGCATTTAGTTCTAAGGAGAACTATAGCGCTTGGAGACCCGGCCCCCCCCCCCCCCCCACTCAGGTTTCGAAATGACCGCATGCGTGTTGCCAAAATGTCCGGTAAAGGGGTACTTTTCGTGCGACAAAGTCCGGCCCGAGAATTGTAAAAAAAGGGGTGTATTTGACTTTTCACCCGGAGATTTCTTTAAAAAGGGGGTGTTTTTTCTTTTTTTTCTCTCATCTCTTTGGACTCCTGAGAAATTATTCCGAATTTAGGGGGGTACATTGAGCATTTTTCCTGATTTAGGGGGGTCTCCAAGGCAGGAAAAGCCCGCGAAAAGCCCGCGAAAGGGGGGTTCGGAAATGTTGGCAGTCCTCAGATAGGGGGTGCTTTCAAAAAGAGGGAACGAGCATATGCGTACCCTAAATAACACTGAGTGGGGGGGGGGGGCGGGCTTGGAGAGGATGAGTGGCTCGACGTTTCGAACAACAGGTTGACTATCCGCCGTCAGGAGTTTGTTTTATCTTACAACTAAGAACTATTTTGTGTAGCGCCCTCTGCAGCAAATCTCAACCATCCTTTATGTATAGTTGTGATTGATATCAATCGCAAATCAGTTGCGTTTAACTCAACTCTTTATAAGATGGGGGCCCTGATGTAGAAGGGAAAAATAAGGCAGGTAGATATTAAAACAAAGAAGAGAAACAAGGAGGAGAATTTAGCTATGGATGTCAACTGTAATCACTGGGACTGCATGGTTTTGACAAGCACGGTCAAGAATCAAGATGCCCATCCTTTCCACCCAAGATCGTTGACTAGCCATAAGTAATACCTCCAGTGCTCATAAACATGCGTAGAAGGGCTAGATGCCCCATGTTTGCAATTTTTATTTTAGAGAGTCAATAATTGTTAAATTTAAAAAAAAATGTTTGCACATGCATGAATGGTACGATTCCATTGCATAATTATCATCTCAAAGATATAAATGTATGTTTATTGTGATAATTATATGAAAGGTCAGTTTATATCAAATATTTATTTGAAAATCTGAACTATAGATAGTGTCCACTTTCTTTTTTTGTTGCTGTGTTTATTTCATTTCATTTCATTTCATTTATTTTCATATTTCTCATGGTACATAAATTATATACATTTCAAAATAAAGTACAATTTTTTTTATTGCTTGTGAAACAATAACAATCAATGATACATTATAAATAACATAAAGATAAGTGGTCAATATAGAGTACTGATTTAACTGAGAGAAATATGATGGGACCTACATGAAAGCAAGCTTGTAACGCTGTAGGCCCCAGTGAAATAATTTGTGGGAATGAATGGAGGACGGATATAACTAGTGACCAGTTCAAATGCATAAAAAAAATCGATGTTTTATCATAACTTAATCACAATTATAATTAATAAATGACACATATTTGTAAAGCTTAGATCCTGCTCTTTTATTTAATGCAACTCATACGATGCATATTTCAAGCATGAGTGATTTTAAGTAATTTGAAGAAAGGGTACCAAAAAGTCACTTGGCGAACGATCTGGATTTCAAAGAGAAAATCACATTTCCAGAAACTGGAACTTATTGCAAAGAAAAATGGGTACTTGTCGAAAGAAAAGGGGGCACATATAAAAATAAAAGGGGCACTTTTACAAAGTAAAACTGGGCAATTCTTACAGAGCTAAAGAGATATTTTTTCCTCTGTAAAAAGGGCACTTTTGATGTACTTGAAAAGGTTGGGGCATTGTGTGCCATGCCCCACCCCAACCAGGGGCGGATCCAGCCGGCGGCAAGGGAGGGGGACAAATAGGAGGCCCAATTCGTGTGAAAATATTTAGCGTCGAATTGGCCAGCCGGTGAATAAGCGGTGGAAGGGGGGGGGGGGATTGGGGTTAAGAGCACTGTTTTTTAAAATTTATATTTTGCTTCAACGGTGGGGGGGGGGGGGGGTGGGAGGGGGTAGGGGAGGTAGGGTACCGTTTTTTTTAATACTGAACACCCCCTCCCCCTTGAGCCAGGGAGAGGGGACCCGTTTTCTTTGTTTCTTCCAAAAAGGTTAAATTTACCTGTTTTGGGGGGCAAGGGGAGGGGGCCCGGGCTCCCCCTCGATCCGCCACTGCCCCCAACCAATCATAAGAGAGAAATGATCGTTTTAAATATGAGATCACTAAATCTTTGCCAAACCAGTAGCTGCGCGATCAGATGGAACTCATGTGCACGGTGGCTGCACGGAGCGTATTTCACTTGTCGCCCTCTGTTGTTCAATTTTCCAAATGCCAGTAAAGCCTTCTTCCATCATGCATGCATGCATGTTCCATGCTTTATTTGATGTAAATAGTAACAATTCATTAGTATTATTTAGATGTGAATGTAAAATCATATTCTATATAATAATATTAACATGCAGATTATTTTATGTATTGATTTTGTTATTGTTATTTTTGTTATTGTTTGTGAAAAGCAATGGAGAAAATAAAATATCATTGAAAAAAAAAAAAAAATTAGTTTAGTGGTGGTTATTTTACCAGACTGCTAAGAAAGCATAAGTAAGCAACCAGAGGACCGACGGCTTTAAGTCTTCTCCAAGTGACCTGGTAATGAGGAATACTATCTTACTGGAAGGGAATACTTGTATGATTTAGATAGTAAATATTTACCAGACTTATTTGGCTGCAGTCGCATCCAAAGCGTATTCTATTCGCACTTTAATTGATGCGCAAATTAATTTTGCCATATCGACCTGACAGAAAACAGTGGCAGGTCGGGGAAACTTAGGAGGGGTGATCATTTATTATCATTGTTATTATCTTTTGTTAGTGTTTCTATTATATTATTATTATCATTATTGAATATTTTGTTTGCTCTTTGCGGTTTTACAGCATATTTACAGTCCAGTTATCAGAAGTAGAACCATGCAGTGCTCATCTAAATTAATCCTTAGTCGTGATGTAATACCCAAAGTCAAACATAATTTCATGCCCTTTCTGAGACTGATAAGAAATTTAATGATAGCCTTGCCATAATACTCTTTGATTGGAATACTGGATGATAAATTCTATCAAGGAATGATATGGGACTGGTTTCTTTTTTTTATCACGAGTTTCTATAATTTAACAGAATCTGCAGTATTTATTGATAGACATTTATGGCAAGGGAAATTTATGGATAGAGAACGACACACTATATCACCACGATTACTACCACTACCACAATCATCGTCACTATTATCATCCCCATCATAATCGAGCATCTCCATCACCATCATCATCAGCAGTATAACAATCATCTTTTTCAAGTTATACCACTTATGTATTTGTTAAGGTTGTCTTTGTCATCATCAAGAACATAATCACCAGGATAATTATCAGCAAAGATATGATAGAGAGCATCAGAGTTTTTAATCAAACATCACCACCACCACCACCACCATCACCAGAACTACCACAACCCGACATGTTATCATTATGTACCATCATAATCACCATCATAATTACCGACGTCATCATCATCATCATCATAATAATCATCTTCATCTTGAGATCATCATCACCATCATCCCTGTACCTATCAACATCATTATTGTTATGAATTCACCATCAATATCACCACCACCACCATCATCACCATCGACCAAAATCATCACCATCATAATCATAATCAAAATAATAACCATCACCATCATCATCACTGTACCTACCAACATCAATCTTGATATGATTTCACTTTCAATATCACCACCACCATCATCACCATCAACCTAAATCATCATCATCAACCAAAATCATCATCATCATCACCACCATAAACCTAAATCATCATCATCATCACCATCAACCTAAAATTATCATCATCACCATCAACCAAAACCATCACAATCAACCTAAATCATCATCATCAACCTAATCATCATCATCATCACCATCAACCTAAATCATCATCATCTTAAATGTGATTACTTTCAGAATTATGAAGATCAAGAGAAGTGACACAAAAAAAATCGTAGACACGATTGAACTAAAGTTGAACAACTTTTATTACATTCTTGTACTGTGTGTATAACAAGACTGTCATATTTCCATTCAGACATGCAAAACATGTGATACCTTACATTTCATCAGATGCATACTAATAATTCTCCATGGCAATAGCTATAATGCATTTTATTTGAATGTTATTTAAATATATAAGATTGAGCAGAATAATTTTCCATTCTCAGATTTTGCACAGTAATGCAATATTAAAGTTAACATCATACCAACATTCTTTTGAAGTTATAATTCCAGGTTCTCGTACAGGCCTGTGACAGCTTAGGCCATTATGGTGAAATACCAAATGAAGGTTCATTCATAATAATTGAGAATCATTTATTGCGTACTGTCAAAGTTTATTTTAATTCAATATCGAGTTGGCTAAATTTGGCAATTGATGAATCATAAAAAAAAATTGAGTTTTCAAACAATTGTTTTTCTTCAAATTCGTGTTGTATTTCTCTTTAGTATAGGAGGCATACCTGTAATGCAATTAGCATGGTCTAATCTAAGACTTAATGTCATGAGAATTAGAATAATTACATTTCAAGATCAATTTTCAATATTGTCTGAATTCTGTTTTGTAAGAGTCATGGCATGGTGGGACCTATTATATGCAATGGAAAAAAACAATGATCATGATTCCAAGTTTACAAAGACTCTGACAAGTTCTTCGTACTGTACATCCAAACACACATATATTACAAAATACAAGAATGTACAGACATATATATACCACTACAATACTCATGCAGAAGCAAATAACATATTGAAAAATATTCATATTTATATATAATATATATATACTGTCTCTGTCTCTATATTTATTAACTAAGAAATTGTGTCCTACTCCCATTGTGTATAGTTTAATTGTTTTATTATGAACAATTTGGAGCTCAAAAGGAATTTAATAATTGCAGTTTTGTTCTAGTTATTATGTCGGACAGAATGGCGGCATCTGGCCACTTGAGAACAAGAATTTCATTTATTCTTCCATTTTGTTAAGAACCTGTACTTTCTGAAAGAGATACAATCACTTTAAAAAGCATACTTGTTTTAAGTTTTAAATAGTACAGATTTTGTACATATATCAAGCTCAACCATGACAGCTGATATCACTGATGTCAGACTTTAATATTGCATAACTAGATAAATAGAGAAATATGGCAAAATCCTAATTGATTTCTCTGTGGGTAGCCAACTGCATTGAATTGAGAGAAATCTGCCAATTTGAATTTTAAAAATGATTTAAAAAGCTTTTCACCATTTAAACACCAGTTGAATAATTTAGTAATTTCAATATTACCGTAATGAATACTTCAAAGGTTTTCTGTCAGAGTTAATAATAAGGAACTGTATACCAAAGCATGGCTGAATAGTTTTGTTTGATAATGGAAAATTATGGTAAGAGACAAGTAGGGAGTTTTGTAGCAGTAAAAATATAAATGACATAGACAAATGCATAATGCACTACCATGAATACATATGCAGCTAAAAACTTTGTATTTTTGTACATAAAGTTTTTAATAAATATAAGATATAAGAAGAGAGATAGAGAGAACACGCAGATAAATTATTCACAAATAAATTGCTCAAAAAACTTGGCACTTGGGAGCTCATAAATACAACATACAAAAGAAACATTGATTTTTCCTTCATTTCATTCATAAACCATACAATGAGTTGTAAATATTACATGTTTATACTTGAAGGAAAAAACAAAGCACATAATATAAAATCTATCAATTAATATAAAATTGATAACCAGTAATTTACCTAAAAATATGTGATGCAAACAAATTGCAATTTAATTTTTTTGGTTTTTTGAAAAATAGTTTTTGTTTTATAATTTTCTTGAAAATGCAAAACTAACTGACTAAAAATGAATACACAAACAAAATATTCAGACTTGTGTTTTTGGTATCATTTTGAAATCAATTTTGTTTAGTTTCAAACAATCCATGCATGAAGGTGTTTTAATCAGTGTTGTTTTGTTAAAGTTCATTGACCCCATCTGTGAACTCCCAAATTAGTCTTGCTATGATACTCTTCTATGAATACAAACCATTTCAATGAATCTGATTGTATGACAGTGTTTTCAAGTACATATGAAACATATATATAGTCAAATCATTTTTGTTATGTTTTCTTCAGATATAAGAACAAAATCAAAACAATGCCATGCATATTTTTTTTTAAAGTACAGCAAGAAAACATCCTATAGAAGAACAATCTCATATAAAATTACATTGATATAGAATCATGCAATATTTTTTTTGTGGAGGGGGTTATACTTACAGGTCAAAATTTCTATATGTTTTATGAAATGAAAAAGAAAATCCACTCCTAAAAAACCCACTAGAATATACATAGCCTCTTTAACTGCCTCATACCACTGTAAATCACAGTTGGTTTGCTTGCTTTCTTGGTATTTGTTACTCTTGTTTCAAAATGTTCAACATTTATAGAAAAAGTTGACATGCAAAAACATACAACAGAGTCTATATTAAGCCTGGCTCCACAATCAGGTTTCCCCTGCTAGAGTTGTCGAGATCATACAATTTATGCATCAACAGGGACAATCAAACCTGCTCTAGTGACCACCTGTATAGAAAGACCACATTTTCTGTTTCCCTTGAAAAGAGTTTCTCATTGAAATGTGTACTAAAGGAACTACAAGGTAGTATATAGAGACCACGTTCCTATGAAGACTGCTTTTCTTGTCTCCCTTGAGCGGTCTTTATAGACAGGTTTCACTATACCTGTCTTAAAAAGAGTAAATTCATACTATATGTACTCAAAGGGGCTGTACACTGCAGAGAGAGAGAGATATTGCATGAATCTGTGGGATCAGGCTCTGTAGTTTGTCCAATCTGAGTTTCATACTGTTCAAACACGATTCATTGTCGAAAGGCTAGATAACAACGGCTAACATGAACATCGACAAGTCTATCCACACAAGACATCATCAACATAAGACATATTCCTCTTAAAATTCATCACTCATTTTAATACACAAAAATAATGAAAATTCTCTTCAATTATCCTAGAAAATACCTGCAAATACTATCAATAAATACTAAGATGAATTTTCATCGATTGTAAATTTCATAAAAACTGTACAGATTTGAGAGCATTAAAAAATGTGCTTCAAAATTTATTTCATTTACAGAATCAAGGCAATTGAATTCATTCCATATCACATCTCAAATTCATTAAAATTCATTAAAATTTATTCACTTGGTTGTGCTCCTTTAAAAAGTGCCAAATATTTAAAAAAGCATGATAAAACATCCTTTGCTCATGATGTTGCATGATTATTTCAAAATTTAAACTGCTGAACTTTTTGATCGACTTATTAACTTTTCATTTCATGAAATCGATTGTATAGCTTTTTAAAAATAAAATGATATACAGCATGCTATGAGACCCAATTCATGCATGCATTGCATTGACTGGCTCCCTCTATAGTCCATTATTACAGAAGCAGAGTTTATCAGCACCAATCTCCATGCAGGAAGTCTTCCTCTTTGCGCCGGCCCCTCTCCTCCTCGTCTGCTCAGGGCGTCTTGACCGATGTTTTGGAGGAGGAGCCTAGCATCACCTTGGTAACGAAGCTGACGATGGCAGAGGCGGGTTGTTCGACCTCCCAATCAGCGAAGAGATGGCACTGGTTGTCTGTCAGGCTGCCTGGTTTGCGGGCAACGAATCCAAAGATTCTGAAGAACAAACACAAAGAGAAGGGGGTGGTGATTAAAAACTTGAATACCTCAGACAACTTTTGGGATAAAAATATTCTACAAAAGAACTTCTTCAGAGGAGCATAATAATAAAAAGCAAGCATTAATTCCTACACAACTATAATCTCAAATCATAATTGAGGGTAAAATATTGAGTTCTGGTAATCCTTGGTATAAAGGAAAGTCAATTCTCACAGAACAAAAAAAAAGAGAAAAGAAAAATAAGAGAAGAGAGCTATTTGTCTTGTAGGAGTTGTGGTCTTCAATTACCAGTAAATGTGATTTCCATCACATTTCAATAACTTTAGTTACAATTTAAGTTTATCATTTGCAGAAAACACTGTAATGCCTGGATTACATTTGGCCTGCGATTAGTCTACGTAGCCCGTATCCTGCTCGTATCCCCTTTTCCGTGCGGCCTCTGTGCGGAGGCAGGAGGCGGCCGTGAGATTTTCGTATGGATTCACGGGCTCCGCAGCCTTTACGATTTTGTTTCGCGAGAAGTTAAACAAATTTGAAAAAATCGTAAGCCCGTAGCCCGTATACATGTCGTAGGTGGCATTGCACAATCCCCGCACGGGCATCGCCCAGAGGCCTCGCACTGATTGTGCAGCAAACGTACGATTTTTCGGTGAACATGGGGGCAAAAAAAAATCATACAGAGATTGTAGACTCATGGGGCATTCGCACAGCAATTGCACAGCTATCGCAAGGTTGCTGTACGGTCACCGCGCCTTCTCCGCGCAACCTTTGCACGGAAGCTGCACGGGCTCCTTACGATTTCCGTGCGGAGACTGCACGGCTACTGCATGCTAATTGCACGATTTCCATACAATCTCTGAGCAGTCTCTGTACGGATTTGCCCCGGCCTGCCCCCAAGGGCCAATACAATAAATTGCACGATGCTCGTAGATAATGTAAACACAAACATCGTAGCCCGTAGCCTCCTACGATGTCTACAAAAAAAAATCGTAGATCAATTTATCCTACGGCGCCCGGGGCAAATGTAATCCAGGCATAAGTTAGGTCAGGTTCTCTCAAAAATTTAATTTAATTTCCCAAAATTGGCTCTAAAAGATATACGCTAGGTAGATGTATACAAAGGAAGGCTCTCTGATAACAATTTGTACAAGCACAATGCTAACGAAAATATTGATTTAACATTTTTAATTAAAAAAGCTTACTTTGCTTCAGCAACTTCTTGCCCTTCTCTCCTCGGGTATCTACAAAAAAAACAAAGAATAATTGGAGACGTTAAAATAACTCACAGTAGAAATGACTAAATTGAAAATAATTGGTATTTTACAATAAACAAGCTGGGTGAAAAAAATACAACTGAATTAAAAAAATCAATTGTTAATGCTATTGATAAATGCAAATATAACAATAACAAGACAAGAACAACATGACAAGCCATCGCGACTTAAACCACAAAGTAAGGTGGCAAAAATGTACCACCAAAGATGTAGATGACTGTTAGTGCATACCATCATGAGCAGCACACAATCTACACATTGATAAAGAGAATTCTATCTAGGCAGTTTCCAAATTAAGATACACCTTTAAGAACGCCAGTCTCTCTACAAGTAATGCCATGGAGAATCATTCTGCAGCAGAATTTATCAAGAATTACCTGCAGTAGCATCATAAAAGATGATTCAATAGACAAGCAGTCTATTTCAAAGGAATTACAATTTGGCAAACTGTTTAATTTAAAAACATGAGGGAGAGTGAAATCATTGAGTTTCTAGACCCATTATGTAAATGAAAATTTCAAGAGTTTTGAATGACTTACTTTCTTGCGAGTGGGTCCATTCCACAGAACAGGATAGACTTGACAGGGTAGTGCTTTCTGAAGAATAACCTGGACAACAGAAAAGAAGACAACAAGTTCATTAAAAAACATTCATAGATAAATCGTATTCTCTGTCATTTGTATATTTCCTTTCCTTGCAGAGGTGAATCATGCATTAGGATGACTGGAAGATATATAGAGAATTGAAATAGCGTTAAAATCCCATCTCCATTTATCCATTCAATGTATGTTGACAGCAAAGTAGTATGGGTTTTCTAACCTTTTTAAAAAATAGCAATGCCAAGACATGTTTTTGATACTGTTCAAATATTTTATAAACTAATTGACATAAGTACTGTCTATTTTTCTTGGTGACCTGCAATTTGCTCAAGTAGCTACTGCTCCAAACTTTACTTCATCACAGTTATAGGGTTCGGGTTGCAATTTGGTTTAAAGTTAGATAATTTAGGCTCAGAGTTAGGGTTAAAGTTGGATAATAATAATGTGTTTATCCAGGAATTTGGTTAGTGCAGGATATTGACAGACACTGGAAAAGGTATCGTAGAACTACTTTGTCTATCCTGCAAAGACAAGATAAGATGATCAGAAGACTTACTTTCTCTGCGTATCTGTGAGTGTGATGCCCTTTGAGGACACCTTGAAGTGCACGACGACGGGCTCAGGTTTCTTCTTGGCACTCAACGTCTTAGTCAAGCCTTCCCGTACAGATTCTGATCCAGTCAACGATTCCATGTCCACACTGTCTATGTACAACACTTTGCATGCTGGGAAGGGAAAGGCAAACAATGAATGTGAATATATTGAAGTTTTATGAAGACAGACAAAAGTGTTGATCCAAAGACAAAAGCTGCCTTTGCTGAATTGCAAGGGGTACTTTCATTACTATAGGGGCTCTTTTTTATCCGGGGGGGGGGGGGGGGGGGGGCTCCTGAACCCCACCTTCCTCCTGTTCTACCGTTGGCCAGCATTCCTCTATCTTTTCCATCATCGATCTTTATTAGTTACCCTTATTTTCATCTTTTAACACCCTTTAGGGTCTTATATCATTAATATAGACATTTCAATATCCTATGACCTCAACCGATTGATTAATTTTGTCACCACCATTTCAACGTTTGCTGTTGACGAACCACAAATTCAGCTTCCCGGTACTTAACAAGTTGGCTTAGAATTCCATTAAAGACAGGGAAATCTGCCCAGCTGAAACTTAATTGATTTTCCCCCACATGCTGCATTCTTGATATGCAATAAATCAATAGAGGTCGTAAAGATTGACCTGCTAATGGTTATTTTGTTAAACCTGTATGAAAATTTGTTGATTGTATTATTCTTTGTATTCAGTGGTTGATTCCTTTCAGTTTTAAATGAAAAGTGCAGGGAAAATGAATACGTGTCAATTTCCGGAAAGTTTGACCTCTATATAAAAAAAATACTTCACTACATAAATATAAAACAACAATTAATCAACACAAACTATGCATAGATGTGACAAGACGAATAACATGATCATTGTCAGGTTGCAAAAGTATTATGCTTCAAAGCATTTTGAGCACACATTGCAACCTACTTTTCTTTTCAGTGACTTCAATTAAAAGCAGTATTTTTAACCTGACCAAATATTGATAACAGCAAGTGTTGGCAAGAGTTCAATAAACTTTAGATGTTAGTGAATGTTCCATTTATCATACCTGCTCCCTGATGTAATAACGATGCTGCTGACTTGGGATCCAGAGTGGAGTCAGTGGCATCAGCGCCTGTTGAATCTGTATTCAGAGGGAGTGAGATAAAGAGAAAGAATAGCTTGAATTATATTACTCTGAATAAAGTATTTTTATCTGCTAGTTCCAATCCTAAAGGAAAAACATGTCATGCTTGTGTCTTTGTGTTGGCTCTATTTAATAAATGTAGACTAGCTGAAATATATTGTTTCTTGAAAACTTTGGTTATAAATAAAATGAATAAATGCATGAAAAAAATATTGTAAGGTATATACAAATATACAAAAATATATGTGGCAAGAATTGAAATGATGGATTGTTATATTTAGCGCCAATGAAAGCTCTGCTCCCCCTATAGGTCCGGTGTTTTCATTTGACTTGAATTGCATTAATTGGGTATTGTAGGTTTGCATCATTTTGCATCATAAATAGTCATAAAATATTTCTGTCAATAACAATGCAAAAACAGAGCTTCATCTGCAGAAAATTGATGAGTTTAAATAATTGTTGTGCATGCCCAAAGCACCCAATGTTAATCTTCAAGAATCTTCCTGTATGAAAGAATTAGATTCCCAATCACGTTCCCAATCTTTAGCCTGGTTAATAGGTTTGTTTATGAGAAAGGAATATATCGAAGGAAGGATAAACAAATTAGGAATGATACTGACAGCTAAAAGTTAAAAAACCACCTAACTTTCTAAATTTATACCATGAAAATTCAGCTACCCTCCTAAGGGAAGTTTGCTTATCGGTTACCTAATCTTAATCATAGTTAAACACTTTGAGCAATCTTGGCTTTGGAACAGGTAGAGAAATTGAACGTGAGAGGAAGTATAAGACATCGAGGGACACTTTTGAGGGGGAAGTGCATGAACTTTGCTTATTTTATCAACACAGCTCATAAACTTTATGACGTTATTAAAAAATGTATGGATGAATGCCAAAAAACAATGCAACTTTGACGTGTGAGGGGTATATACTGGTGATGCTACATACATTTTTTTTATAAATATATGGACAACTTGAGTTGAAAAAGATGTACAATTTTGAAATTGACATGGAAAAAAAAGATAAATATTCTTGAATATTTTGCGCTTGTGATAGGCATGTGAATTACATATCCATTTAAAACTTGTAGATGATGATGATTTCAAATAATGCCACTGATCAGATAAACCCCAACATTTATTTGTTATTCCCAGATACCATACCACTTGTTCCTATCAATCCGTATGTATTAACTGATACATCACATGCTGCTGTTAGCTACGTGGCTCATTCTTGGCAGGTTGATGGCAAATTTCAGCTACAAAATTTGTGCAAGTCACGTACATTTTAACGTAATTTTGTTGTACATGTGATTCATCATGTGCTTTGTTGTTCACCAACATAGCAACACTTAAGAGTTGAAATACATCTATATTTAACAATTTTAACAAGATTTGTCTCTATTTTCTTAACAACATTTAACATCTAACAAGTTACATTTTAGTCAAGATACATGTAGTTTAGTACGTGGACAGTTTACACACAGAGTACACCAAGAATAGATCTTAGATACAGGTTTATCAATGCATCTCCACATCAAATGGAAAGATTCACAGCAGCAAAATAAAAAGATTAAAAAGTATTATATACTATTTTTTAAAGGAAGTTTTAAAATTAATCACAATAAAATACTAAATATTGGCTCGGAATGGTGTAAAATTTCCCACGGTTTTGAAAGAGAAATGGTAAATAATTTTGTTTGTCGGATAACAGCACTTGTACAGATAGTCATGCCTGATTTCTTTTTCTAAATATGACTGTTATAAACCAAGTAAACACCACTAAACACTACCAGAAACAAAAGGATGATTTTGACCGCACAGATAGCTACTAGCTCTTTGAAACATTTACGGAACAATTATCATTTATTGGTTATCTATGGCAGGTTGAATCTCTTTGACACACAAGTCTGGAATGTTTGCGTGACTGAAAATTGACAAATATATCACTTTTTAGAGGATTAATCCAATAAGTTCTGCACGATCGCTCATCTTTTCTTTACGATAGGACGAGATCCATTGAGGGCTTTTGAGGCACATCCCCCAAAACATGATCTCAATCAGCCATACTGTTGTATTTGACTGGTGTTATTTCTCAACATTGAATCCATGGTTAAGACCGTAGAAAAACACTGCTTAATGCATGCATAATCAGAATTCACAGTTAATATCACACAAGGGGGGAATATCAAACTTTATTTTCAGCGAAAAACCAGGCACAACTAAGTGCCCTTTGTAGAAAGAAAGTTAAAAAGAGATTAAAGTAAAAACCTACAACATTCCTTACTAATTCCTTACCTCTTGATTTATTTAGATAAAGAGCATAGATGTTATGATTATTTATATTTGACCACTATCTATCTTATTTTGTAGACTTTATTTGCTCAAATCTTGATTTGAAAAAAAAAGAAAACTACAAAATGGCTTTTTTTTGCATCCCCATTGCCCAAAACTAATTTTCATGAGCATGCAGTTTTCATTAGCATCTTACTAAAACCACATTTGACCTTACAAAGTTTTTTCAATTTGACCACTAAATCATTCATTTCCCCTATGAATATAATATTGCTCAGCTTTTAGAAACAGTTCAAACTGTCAAAAAATTATTCCAAGCCAAGTTTGAGCTTAAAAATTATGTTTCCCAAATGAAAAACTGCATGTCAGCACTAGAATATCGAGTTAGTCTCCTCTGTAAAACCAGGATGAACTATGGCAAATTCACCATTCCATTAAAAGCCAATAATCTCTGGCGCCTCAATGTACGATTTACAACTTCATCGTTCACCCTACAAAAATCCTAGGATTATTGCAAAATTGTGATTTATTTCTCATCTGACAGCCAAGCTAAGGGATTGTACAAGATTGAGAGGATTATAATGCACAATGACAATCAAAATATGGAACAATGGAGACAAATATCTGCGGACTTGGGACACGCGAGCTGGAACTAGGCAAATAAAAAGAATTGATGAGAACGGGAAATGTGGTTTTGATAACGTCATGTTCAAGTCAAGTCCTGTTATTCAAGGATTTTCATCATGATATTTCTAAATAATTAGTGAGAAAAAAATTCTTAACAAAAAATACTGTGTTGTTAAACATTGGTGTATCTTGATCTAACATGTCTTTCTTTATAAGAAGGTTATTTTTTTTCTTCCAAAAATAATTAACTGGACAATTAAAGCTTTAATCTGTTCAGCAAATTAGCATCATTTAAAACACTGTTCTCATTCTCTAACTGCACTTAGTATGAAAACAATGCAGTTAAACTAAGATTTCAATAAGTTTTTGCCAATTAGCATCTCAAAGATTTTCAAATATTTACTACCTACTACGACTCTGCAAGTGAAAAAAACACCATTGAACCAGGCCAGTACAGTTTTTATTTGTTTGTTGTAAAGCAGCCAACTTTATGAACTGACATTTCAAATATAACAATGTAAACAGCTTGTGATATGCAGCATGTATAATAATGTTCATGGAAGTTGGAAACCAATGAATGCTTCTGCTACCTCTGATGTATCTTAAAGCATGAATATTGGAAGGATGGATGGTTTTTAATGTTTGAAACAGATAAATGGCGACACACAAGTGCTGTGGATCATCACCATCATGACCACACAAAAAATATCCTGGTTGAAATCAAGGTTTTTTATTCTCCAAAAAAAGTATCAATCGCTACAGTCCATGGTTGAATGCTAAGTCAACTATATAAGTTGGCAGAACAATTCTATAGTTGCTTTCACTTTGCTTATAGTTAATTTCACAATATTTGTTTTAGAACTGCACAATTATTACTCATCCAATAATGGATCCTTTTCAATGCTTGTAGTTCTTGCCACTTATATATATATATATGATATTTTTGCTTGCTCTTCTTAGGTAATATGACTCTTAAATGTAGCTATTTGATGATTTGTTTGTTTTGTTTTCAAATTGCATGTTAGTTTATCCTGCTCACCATAAATAGTTAATGATTATAATAAAAGTTAACAGATGGAGAGTTTCTCATATCAAATGGACTCCACAGGTTAGAGTTACATCACCATCACCACTGTTATCCACAGTTGCGTCAGATCCAAAACAAGAAACCCAGAAAGAAGGATATATATATATGATTGCCAACATTTGAATTTAGTTGATATATAGTCAATTACTTACAATCAAGAGATGCCGAAGAGTTTTTATCACCTAGAATGTAGCAATAGGCAAATAATATGTCAAATTGATTATGATCACTGGTAGTGAAAGAATCATCTATGTTTTTCCATAAATTTCTCTTAAATAACAAATTTTGATATAAGATATTTCCAAGTAAAACAACTTAAAGAGAAAAGGTAGAATTAAATTGTTTAAATGGTGAAATGGGGGTTAAAGTAATCTCATTCTAAATTAATAATAAATTGTCTCTTTTCCATAATGGCAACTCAGAATGATGCAAAGGTCAATCAGAACTCTTGTGTTCACTTAAAGTTTAAAAAAAGTTAATGTTACTATTAAATTATGGCTGGGATATGAACCCTGCCTATTTGAGCCCTGTTTGAGCCATAGTCTCGGGCTTCGTCTGTTGCCATTGATTCAATATTGATCTCAACTTGCTAGCACTCCAGATCAATAGGCCATTTTCTTAATGTAACCAAATTTATTGCATACTTCTTTGTAAAGTGCCTCTCATACAAATTATTTAATTCACCTGTTGCATATATACATCGGTTGTTGCTTGATAGGACAAACATTATGGCTTGCCCTACCTAGCACCAACTAATGTATGTAATTTGCATTCTGACTTTTGAGATACAATTCTTAATAACAGGTGAATGAAATCATTTATATCACACTTCAGTTGGCATATTACAAAAAAGACTATTGCAACTGTTTATAAGAAGTGCCCTGGTGTACGTCTAAAGAAGTTGCTGCTTATCCACAAGACCATGTCGTCTCTACACCAGACTTAAGTGTGTGTGTGGGTGTGGAGGGGGAGGGGGTGTGGGAGGGGGGTTGAGAGAAGAAGAAACAACTTACCCATATCTGGTAGGACGAGCTTGATGGGTAAGGCCAACTGAGTCAGGGTGTGCTGGTAGATGAGTGCCGATAAGCTACTGAAGACGGGCTCATTGACGCACCCCTTCAGCCGCACCCCTCTGGCGTTGGGCTCGATCAAGAAATGCCTCACCAATTCACTCTGTGGGTCACCACCTATGGAAACAGAGAGAGAAATGGAGGAGGAAATAAAAGAAATTATTAATAATCATCAGATATGATTATACATTCTCTTCATGTACAGACAATGGAGTATTACCCGCAGCTCGTATCTACCGTAGATGCAGTTCATAGGTGTAACTAAAAATAGAGACAACTAGATGGAACTTCGACTGCGCGCAGTCGAAAATGATGCCTCCATCATAGAGCAATTTTACAAACCAAAACAGAAGAAATTTTTCAAATTCAAGTTCAATTGTAATCCATTAAGAGGTTCTCAGAATATCGTGATTACAAGCAATTTCTCATATACATATATGACCCTTTGATCTTTGACCTGATGACCCTAAAATCTACTCAGTTCATTGGCTCTGCAAGATGTCCTGAGTTAAATAGTAATCCATCTGTCAGTTCTAATGAGAATGCGTTCACAAGTTATTTTTGGATACATAATGAGCCCATGACCTTTGACCTCATGACCCATGAATCTACTCAGTTCATTGGCTCTGCAAGATACATACATGATCGAAATTTGGCAGGAATCCATCAATCTGTTCTAATGAGAATGCGATCACAAGCTATTTTTGCATACATAATGAGCCCTGTGACCTTTGACCTTTGACCTTGTGACCCCAAAATCTATTCAGTTCATCGGCTCTGCAAGATACATGCAAGACCAAAGTTTGGCAGGAATCCATCAATCGGTTCTTCAGATAACACGATCACGAGCTGTTTTTGCATACATAATGAGCCCTGTGACCTTTGACCTTTGACCTCGTGACCCCAAAATCTAATCAGTTCATCGGCTCTGCAAGTAACATACATGACCAAAGTTTGGCAGGAATCCATCAATCGGTTCTTCAGATAACGCGATCACGAGAACGGGACGTACGGACGGACGGACGGACGTACGGACGTTCGGACGTACGGACGGACGGACGGACGGACAACCCGAAAACATAATGCCTCCGGCTACTTCGTAACGGAGGCATAAAAATAAAGTCATAAGACCACCATGCTTGTCAGCTGCAATCCAGAAAAGCATCAATTCTGATCCTTCAAAATAGAGCTAACCCTTTTAAAACTAAGCCTAGGATAACTTGGGCTAGGCTCTATGAAAAATGTGTGTAAGATGGAGAAGCAGAAAAACACACACATAACAAAGTGTATCTAATAGGTTATTATCCTTCTGGCTTTTGGCAAAAAAAGATGTTTATTCTTCAACAAACAAACAATAATCAATTTAGAATTTAAAAAAACATAAGATGAGTAACTGCTGTAAGACATTAAGCAAGAAAGAACAATGAAAAAAGGAAAGAAATAGAAAGAGAGAGAAAGAGAGAGACCGAGAGAGAGAGAGAGAGAGAGAGAGAGAGAGAGAGAGAGAGAGAATGAACACTCGATCTTCCTATATCACAATCAAGCCTCCCAGCTAGCATCCCAGGGACTGATGGAGAGTGCAGAATCAACATCATGTTGAGGTTTACCAGGATGGCGCAAAAACTAACTCCTAGGTGCGAGCTGGACCAATTTCCTGTCTGAATGTTGGAGGGTGTATGTGAGCATGGTAATGGTTAACCACACCAATATGAGCTAGGGGAGCAGGTGGTAGAGGGCTTGTTCATACATGTAGGTCGTGCTGGTGCGATCTAGACCGATCAATTTCGGGCTGATACGTTCTGCGAAACGATACTGACTGATATAACCATACCGTAGGGTACTATGAAGAATGGATCTGGATTAAACAAGAGATCTTATTCATGGGCAAAAGAGGAAAAAAAGAATCAAAGAAATATGCAGAGAAAGATGACAAGAAGGACACTTCAAAAAAGGGGAATACACAACTCGAAACGCCCTACATAAGCGTGTCTTTTTTTCCTTTATTCAGCCAGCAATAATGCCACAACAATCCCCAAGCAGCACGACTGTTACAGAATCTAGAATACATATCATAAAGCCAAATGGCCATGTGAATGTTCTCCATAGTTGGGGAATTCATCCAAAAATAATTATTACAAAAAAAAAGAAAAAAAAAAAAGAAAAAAAAGGGGGGGGGGGGGAGGGTTGGTGGGAGGGTTGGTGGGAGAACAGGAGTGCAATCACCTGCCATACATGACAAAACTGATTGGAAAGGGATTATAGAACTAAGCTCAAATCTGCCAATTTATGATCCAATTCATATGGGATCAGCGATGGATGAGAACATGCACAAATATTTTAATGAAATTTGATATTACATTGTCTGGAATTGATTATCCATGCACCAAGTGGCATATTTAGGGAGAAGATCCTGCCCATGCACCCCCTTTGGAAACTTAAATGGCATACTTAAAGTTCACAACTCTAAGGATGTGCCACCCCACCCTTCTGAGATGATGACCTTTCTATTTTGCTTGTCAGAAAATTTTAGAAATATTGTGCCCCCTCTTTTATACAAAATCCTCAATTCTCCCCTTTACACCTAATACATAATTGGGTTTGAAAGCAAGCCAATATAACAGGTAAAGCTCATATTAAGCTGGCTTCCTCTGTGAAATAATGGGAAATGGACATATTTCCTTTATTACATAATCTAATATCTTGTTCATGCATGCAGACGTACATGTATATATTATCCTTCTAATATCAAATTAGGCCTACGACCTTTAAACATATCCCGCTACGCTGTGGAGCAAGCAACAATATCCAAATTGAATTTTGCTCATAATGAAAGGCTCGATCAATTAAGGTCTATAACTGATGCAGTAATGAATGGGGAATGCTCATTAATGTAACAGCAAGGCTGAAGTCAACGCATCTTCAATCATACACTTGGGGAATGTCCTGGACAACCTTAACCCTTTCCTTGCCATGGGCAGCGTATTTTGCATGAGGACACGACTGTTGAATTATGTGTAGGGACTGCCTAGGGTAGCTTATCCAGGGCCCATGAGTACCTAACAAAAGAGGGTCAATTTTTAACTTCATTAGTACCCAAGTTTTAAAGTATAAAAATTACATTCCTTCATTATTTACTATTAGGAATTCAGCCAATTATTATCGGAAAGTTGTCTTTGTGTGGTCCCATTAATGTCTGCTCATGTTGTCTGTTGAGAAACCCAGGTGTTACAATATGGCATGTGCCAAGCTAGGGCATAACATTAATGAGAAAAACACCCAAAAGTGCATTAAACTATGACTCTGATGACACCATCATTATCAAGGGTGCAGAGTCCATGTATCATCTGTTCTTTGTAATAGTCAGAAGGGAGTTAACTCTGTGTGAGAGTATATGAGTTAATGCCCTTCTGGCACTCAACGGATGATAAATCCTTACAGATCGAGAAGGAATTAATGTCCTTTCCCCTAATACACACAATATAAGCCTACAATGAATTGAAAGAATTGCAAACTTTATGCATAATTTAAAATTTGCGATTCAATACCTTTAGCTACCAAAAAAAAATTACTCATAATCTTTTTGAGCATTTGATCCCATAAGCTATCAAAGAATTAGAATAGAATTAAACCCATCCATTGTACATTTATGATAAAATCTACTATTGAATCAGGCAAAATAAGAGAAATTAGTTGTTAATTGGTAAATCTTAAAGAAAGTCAACCAAAAACCTGTGAATCCTAGAAAATACAGGCACTCCCGGGGAAAGTTATCCAAAGATTAGGAAATAGAGTGAAAGTATTTTTTGACCCCTTCTAGTTTTACAACACTAGGTAACAGATTAAGTCAAATCATTGAGTCACCAAGTCCGCTCAGACAGTCACGTTACTCGACCTATTGTGCAAACATGCCACTTTTTTTTTTACAAAAAGTCATCTACAATGGGTCTCGTCCAATTAATTTAGCTGACACTTTGTGAAAACCATACAGCAAATCTACAAAAAGTTGTGTCCTTGCGTCATACGACCTCCCCCCAACCGGACGATGCAAAGACCTGATGATTCGAGGTAAGCCCTATATATGCAACACCCTTAACAAGGCATCATGTCTGATGACAACACAATTCAACCTTTAACATGTTGACAGCTGTCTGTCTGAATAGCATCTCACAGTCAGAGTTTAAAGGTACAGTCCCAAGTTTCCTTAATTATTTCCAATATTTGGAATGCAGCATGGTGTGATAGACCTCTATAACTTGTAAATCAATTGCTTTGCATTCGATACAAAACTGTACAGGAGACAAAGGCAGAATTTGTTCATTTTTGGGAAAAACACCTGTTTTCCTATTAAAATGCAAGGTTTTGGTTTAAAGAAAGGTGTTTAGAAGGACAATTCAGAGATGAATTTCACTGAAGAACGGACAGGGTGGGGCTAAACTATGAAACAGTATGTAGAGTGACTAAACTTTTTCTCCAGCAACATTTTTCCCAGTGTTTATTTCTTTAAAGATGCAGGTTAGGGTTAGGTGTACTGTTGAAGGAAGGATTTTGGCTGGAGTAGGATATTGATGACAGAGCAACTGTTGCTGGAGTACGTGTTGTAGAACCATGCAGAGAAATGGGTTCAACAAAATTAGACATCGAGTCTCCCTTTTTTTTCTTCCTAAGAGAGGTTTAAAAAAAATTAAAACACCATTCCGTCAACTGCCGGAAGTAAGAAAGCTATTAAAAGAACTTTTCAAGCTTACGGAGGCTTAATCCCTTTTTTTAGACCTGCAGTAGGGGGACAGACCAGGAAGGATGTATAGTTTAATGTTCTTTATCGATGAGAATGCATTATGTATGTTTAATATTATGTCTCTTATAGAGGAAGAGAGGGGGAAGAAAAAAACAAAAGATAGATAGAAAGAGGGAACGAGAGAGAGAGGATGATTAAAAATAAATATATGAATGATAATAAAAAACATAGTCTCATTGTCTCTTTAATCATCTACACCGTTTTTTTCTGAAGGTGCTGAATGTAGTTGAGTCAGATGAAGTCATTTGCGGAACAGACAAGCCTGGGATAACGGATCTCTTTCTGATTTTTAATGACAGTTTGCACACGGTTTCCTCTCTGTCTCATCACTGATCTGCTCTAGATTCTACCAAGGTTATCTATCATTCACCCTCCCCTCTATAGCTGCACTCCGGTGTTTCGTCGGAACTTGCTAAGCAGGTACCCATAAACATGACAAACAACCAAAATTAAAAAAAACCCACCTATGAAGTAAAAAATGTAACATGTAATACACATGTATCTGAACATTTGGAACATTAGCTTTCAAATGGAGAGTTGAAGACAGCTAACAATGCCCTAGCAATTATCAGCCAATTAGCATACACAGAACTCGTACAAATGCTGATGAAAATATGACCAGGCAACTTATCAGGACAAAATAATTTCAGGTCACTCTTCCCTACCACAATGATGTCATTTAGCATGTATTGAGAGCACCTGCTTACAAATTCTATTCTACTAAAGTAAGCCTGCGAAAAGTTAGGACTCAGAATATATCATCCTGATATCAATTAAACGTTACATGTCACCCTTGATTAAACAGTATTCCATGACATTTCATATATTTCAAAACAAAACATCTGCACATGCTTGTTTCAATTATGGTTAATTTGAAGCTACCCGTATTGCTTGAGAATATACACAACACGGACCAATTAATTGGCTCATATTACCAAATTTTGCCTCATTTTGTGACCAATTTGGCAATTTGGTGCGATTAATCCCCAACCATCTACTCGATTAGTTTGGCTTTTGATCCTCCGGTCTGTTGACATTTCAAATATTTTCTGCTCCAATTCAGGCTTACCAGAAACATGTTCCTGAAATGTTTTCACAAACATGATTCATGTTGCATATCATTAGTTGGCTTGACTGACTGGGATCCATATAAGCTCTTTAATTATCATTTCTGTAACAAAAGTCTCTTTCAGGGATTGCTCTTATGCTATTATTGCTTCCAAAATGATTTCATACTCAATGTGATTCAATACAATCCTCGATGGAATGTATATGTTTGCTCTTAACTTTGAAAATGTTTACTTAAGTACTTAAGCAATTGACCTTGCTAAATGCAGAGCAGTGGACATATTAATTAGATTGCTTGAGTATGACTGTATAACTTTTGACATTGATCAATAATTAGTTTGATAAACACTGCATTAACGTCCCTGATGCCACTACAAAGGCTGCTTGTGGCTGCTTACATGCATAGTGGGGGAAGGGGGAGGGGGCACAACTGGTCATATCTCCATTAAAAAAACAACCTAATCAGACATACCTCATGTACACGAGAAACAACGTGCCCCTCATTATAATCTAGTGCCCCCTTCAAATTTTAAACTCAAAGGGCACCTACAAATTTGAAAAACATTCTTTTTGTTGTTGGTTTGTCAAATACTTTTAAAAGTGCTTTAGCCTCAAAATGTAATAACCCTTTTTAATTGCTTGACAGATATTGTGCTCGTAATTGTGCTATACTAACAATATAAAATGTTATGCTACCCTCCCCTTTATAAAATTCCAGATCCGCTCATGGCTTACATGATCGTTATATGACATTTAAGAAGAAGAAACAGTATTACAGTGTAAATTTTATAACAACATTCATAAGAAAAAACTCAGAACTACATCAACATTCAACAATACCCCGTAACAGGATGGTTCTCACTTCACAAATTGATGTGATTTTAAAATAGTCATATCCTTTCGTTATGATAAGGATTTCTTTGCCAAAAATGTATGACTAAACTTTGCATAACTAATCCATAACTTATGGATAAATGCTTGTTTCCTTTATGAACTTAAAAATAATCATAATCAGGTTTATATACAGGATAAAGCCTGGAGAACAGACAGATAACATACACGCCAACAGCCGGGGGAAACATAACACATGGGGCTTAGCAAAGGGAAACATTAGATGTTTAGCTTTTGAATTTTCATTTTCATACACTGAGAGGATATATATGTCAGTTTGATTTAGGTGAAGCTTTAGAACTGTAAGTTAATTTCTTTTACATGTAATGGGTGTGATTACGTATGTTTGGGAAGGGAAGAAAACGGGCATATAAAGTCTGTTGTCACAGGATGCATTTCATCACGGTGCAATAAATCAGATTGGAGATGATTTTTTTTTTGCGGAGGAGTCGTTTGAAATGAAATTTTTGAAAGGTTTTCGGTCGGAGGCTGCATCTCGCGGAAAGGGTTGGATAAGAGGGAAAGAATGTAGTAATCTCTTTGAGACAGACGAATACATTAGTACAACAAACCTACAGTGAAAGATGGAGGTGACAGAGAAAATAAAACATACATGAACAGAGAATGAGTGAAAATGTGGAGAGAGCGCAAGAGGGGAAAAGAGCAAGACGGAGAAAGAGAAAGAGAAAGAGAAAGAGAAAGAAAAAGAAAGAAAGAGAGAGAGAGAGAGAGAGAGAGAGAGAGATTGAGGGAGACAGACAGAGAGGGCAAAGTGAGAGGGGTGTGGTGAAAAACGATGGAGAAAGAGGGAGACAAAGAGAAAGGGAGAGAGAGAGAGAGAGAGAGAGAGAGCAAGGGTTATGGATAGAAAAAAGCAAGGAAAAGAGGGGAAATGAGAAATATTGAAAGTGAGAGAAAGAGAAAGATAAATACAGAGAGTGAAAGAGAGAAGGAGGGAAAGGAAAGAGAGAAAGAGAGAGAGAGAGAGAGAGAGAGAGAGAGAGAGAGAATGAGAAAGGGAAGAGAGCCTGATAGAGAAGAACGGCACTGCCTGCAACACATCCAAAGATAAGAAAGAGGAAAATGTGATAAAATATTTTATGAAAGGATAACTTGAGGTCTCAAATCAAGATTAAGATCAAGTCAGGAAGGGGATATGATGCAATGCCATCAGATAGACATACATCTCAGATGCACTCCAGATGTTTTCAAAGGAAGATCTACTCTGGTTAATGACAAGTGTTTGAGTTGTGATCGTATGATAATATTTAGAGGCGTACTCAATTACTCATGATGTCATGATGGGACATTAAACTATCAAGATGCAACTGAATACAGTTCAAAATCCTGGCTTGAAACCGTAGATCTGCATACATTTTGTGTGCAGAACACCATTGCTGCCCTTCCATCAAATAATATTCAATCCCTTAATACACTGCCTGGTTAATGAAACAATTGAGTCATTAAACGATTCAGGTCAAGCAATTTAATATCTGTCCAAGATGCCAAATTTTGTAATGAAGCCTCAATAACCAGCCCATTTTTCTACCTAGGTCAACATTTGAAGCTATGAAAATTGATTGTATCTAAATTCTATAATTATTGCATACAACTGATTTGATTCAACAATCATTTATAGATGTATAAATCAAAAGGACATAGTATTCCTTCAGAAGACGGCATATATGCAAATGTTGATGGCATTACCAGAGCCTAAAGCACTAGGCCAAGATTTGAACACACAACTTTCATTCTGTGAGCCAGGAGGCCAAGCAACTGTGCCCCTCGATGTAAGCCTGATTAGTAACTCTATGGTAACAAATCCTTACAAATGCAATAGCAAACTATCAAATGGTCCTGACTTGGCTTCATGCAGCCCAAGTACTTAACGAAAAGTTGAGCAAAGCTAGGGATGATCTAACTAAAGTTATGCAACTTCTTCTTTTCTTTCCTTTCCTTTCCTTAAAGTAAATACTTAGTAGAGGATAAGGATTAACAAACATTTGTCTTACTATTTACATAGTGTGGTAAATGAGAGTAGAAGTTGGACTTTCAAAAAGATCAGAGTGAACTTAATGAAAGTGATGAAGAAAAGGTCAATCATTGTGATGTTTGAAACATATCCACGTTGTTAGACTCTTGGAAGAGAATCTGAGATATTATAACAAATCTGCTTAGCTTCCCAATTGATTGAACGATTGCTTGATCGATCGCAGGATCGATAGATTTTACATCATGATCAATTGGAATTGCAAAAAAGCAATTAATTGATAACTTACCTTTAAGTTACGGGGCCAAGGTCATAAATTGCTTTAAGCCTTGAAGCTTTTAATCAGTATAAATCTTCAGATCTTTCTGTCTACCTTAATTATCACTTCATCAGTGTACTTATTCTTATGGCCTAGACATGTCATATTCAATATCCTAATCAAAAAGTAAAGCCAACTACATATAGCATTATTAGACTATAAAAAGTATCATCATGAAGTACATGTATGAATGACTCGTTTGTAATTTCGAATTTCTATTATCTTTAGTCTATTAAGTACTACCGGTTTTGCAATTTAACACATCACACAGGACCAAAACAGTTAACTTTGAACAGAACCTCAAAGTCTGTATGGCACATAAATTCAAGTAAGGACCCTCTCGCTGCTCTTAGTTATCACATTAAGCTCATATATAGTTTGTAACTTCAAATTAATTAAAGTGTTGTAACCACGAGTTTTTTCGCACGGTCCCCAATTACAACATAACTTTGAAAGTTACAACTACGACAACTGAACTACAAAGTTGTTTTCTTACCTTTTCTTGGTGTCGTGTTCGCTGGTACCTGTGCTACTTTCAGTGCTAAACCAAACGCCCCTGGGAAGGAATTGCTGTCTCTTACGATAAACGTTCCAGGAGGTCTGTCCTTCAAAATATTGATTGCTAAAATAAAGAGAAGGTGAGGGAGAAAGTAGAAATTAAAGTCATAAAATCAGAATGTATTAATTATTGGCCAAATTTGTTATCATTTTGACGACTTCAGAACCATGCAGTACCCACCAATACTGATATGCTATATGATCAACCTTTTTTGATCCATTCCACACTGTTTCTTTCACAATGTTTCTTTCACAATGCAATCGCATGACCAGAATTCAACTTTATCTTTAACCCTAGGCTGTGAACATTTTATATACCTCTAACCCATAGATACCCTCCAACAATTCCTTCCCTTATTCCCTAATCAATTTCCATCCTCTCTACATCCTTTCCTCTTCCTTCTTGCATCACTTCTGTCTCCAGAGAGGGCTGCAGCTTGTCTCTCTTTAGTACCCCCGTTCTTGTCTATCTTCTATCCCCATCTCTTCTCCTCTCTGAACCTTCTCTTCCTTTACATCCCCATCTCCCCATCTTTCTCTCTCAACCCCCCCCCCCCAACATTGGTTTCTTGTATTCTTGTATTCTATACTCTCTATCTCTTACCCTCTCTCCTGATGCTCTTGCTTCGCTCTCGCTCATTCTCTCTCTGTCTATCTATCCATCTCTATCCCATCACTTTCTGCCTTTCCCTCTCTAACCATTCTCTCTATCCTTCTTCCTATCCTCCTGTCTGTCTCCCTTTCCCCACCACCCCCCCCCTCTCTCTCTCTCTCTCTCTCTCTCACCCTTCCTCATATTTTCCTTCATTCCCCTTCTTTCCTTTTCTCTCCCTCTCTCTTTCAAAAGCTGTACCTCTCCCAATCACTATCTTTCTTTCTTTCTCCCTCCCTCTTTCATTCTTCCTCCCTACGGGAGAGTATCTTACCATCGTCCCTTGTTATGCTAGGCTTGTACCACCAGGCTGACAGATCCTTGACAAAGCGAACATGTTCTACGCTGGGATCTGAAAGAGTAACATGAAAGAATAGTTAGAAACAATCATTGTAAATAAATGTATCTTAATAAATTGTTCATTTTTATAATTTATTACAGGTTTTTTTTGCTGAAAAAAGAGACTAGTTGTGATAATCAACTTGACTAAAAGAATTTTGATTATAATATAGTTAATTAAGTCGGAAGACATCTATTGAGCTTTATAGAATATTTTAAGATTAAGATTTGAAAAAATAACCCCAAAAATATATATATTGAAACCAAGATTTTCCTCCACCTTATGTGTGGATGAAATCTGAAGATTTGCGATGAGTGTCATCACCATCCTCATCATGAGGATGACCAACACAATTGACCATTAAAATGTCATCGTTCTCTTCTCTTCATCAGTCATCATCATAATCACTATAATCCTCATCATCATCATCACCATCATCACCACCATCACCAATTTATCTTATGCCTTTTACATGTAACTGTGGAGCTATCATTTATGAGTAGTTTTTATGAAAAAACATAGCAGTTTTTTTTTTAATACTGGGATTTAATGACTTCATAGGAATTATTTGTTGGCCCGCCCTGTGAATGTTGGAGCTCAGATAAAAATCATCCAAGCATGTATAATAATCATCCATACCCAGACAGCCTACCACCTACGCTATCACCCAAAATAATTCCATTACTCCTATTACTTCCGTGTTAACAACTCCGGAATCGATGGCAGTTTACGGAGCGCCTCACTCTTTAAAAGAATTCACCCCGGAAAGGAAGAGCAGAGATCGCCAATGAATGTCTTGGCGTGTAATATTGGACTCAATAAATCTTGCCCGTTTTGGGTTCGATGATCGTAAACCGACAGAGAGAACCAATAACGAGAAGGGGCTGCATAGGGTGCTGTTATTACTTATCAATCAAACTGTTTATTCGTAGCTAGGAAGGGCAAAAATGCTCTACATTTTAGGGGTTTGTTTTGAAAAGAAGGTTGATACCCGGTAGTTATTCTTCATGTTAATTTTGAGCTGCAGTTGATGAAGAAATATATAATATCTTTTGATTCAGCTGCTTGAAAACAATTTTCATGACTTGAGTTTTATGCTGTCTTCACATAAAAATGTACAACTACTCCCTGCATATTGATTTAGTGGGAAGCTTTAATAGGTTGAACGGGGCATCAAATGTGTTTTAGGAGAATTCATTAATGTCATGGACTCCTACATGCATGATGTCAAGCTCTAACAAACACCAATCTAATAACTCAAACCTCCTTCACACTTAATTTGTTATCTGACAAAAACCTTCTTTACTACAAGAAATATGAGTTTTAATACAAAGAGATAAACTTAAGTGATTTTAACTGTTTGATACAGACCTACTTTGTATTTCTGAACACTACACATTGCTATATTCTTGTCATGTTAAATATCATAGTTATTATGATTCTGATGACGGTGATGATAATCTTTGATGTTTATATTGTTGCTGTGATAATCATCACCGTCATTCTAATCACCATCACTATTTACACTTTTAACTTCTGTACTCGATTGTTTATAACAAAGAAAGTCCCCATCTAAATCTGCCTGAATACTCTTCACACAACTATCGATGATTCTTGAGAAAAATACCTAATTAGGGCACAGGCAAATAATGGATCTTAATTACAATTTACACCAGCTAAATAAATTAGATGCATAGAGTACAAGGGAACCTTGTTATTAAACACCTCATATCGAGCTCTCATGGATATGGGCATACAAAAATTATAATATAGATTAATTTTCAACTCAGTAAGCCATTAACTTCTCCCCCAATACATTTTCATTTGCTCAATTCTAACTGCTGCATTCCAGTAATGAACTTGAATCCAATTTACATGTAGGTACAGTAATGAGAAATCACTCCTCTTAAATGACTTTTATCCTCCATGTAATAATTGTAATTAAATGAAATGTTTATTTAAATATATAATAATTCCTCTTAATATCTCCTTATGGTTACCATATTTTCCAATAAAACTTAACAGCCGCAAAGACTAAGAAAGTAATCTTAGAAGTGAAAATAATATGGAGCCTTGATCATGAACTGAATTTTCAAATGACCAGAATCAAACTTTGAATAAGCGTCAAGTTCTGACTATCCCTCGCTTGCGGAGAGTGTGAAGATTCCACACGAAGAGTTGCAGTGATTTTTGTTGGTATTTGTGAGGAAGTTTGTGGGTCAGTGTGTCAATACAATGAATCTCTGATCCTAAACAAACCAAGTCATATTAAAGGGTAGGTCAATATTGACTGAAGCCAGAGAACGTGTTTACTCACTTCTTGAAAGCTAATTATCATTCATTACTTAGTCTCAAGCTAAGACCTTCACTCATGGTCAGCACAAATCAAACAAAATGGCACCAACATTGGGGTACAATTGTCTAAATGTCTGTACTGGTGTGTGGATATGTTCATTAGTTCTATAATTTCAATTTCACATCAAAATTTCTGATATAACTGTTTTCAAACATCATACTCATGAACTGAATTTATGTTTTGAAGTTTTAAATCCTCTCTTTATAAAGCAATACTCCCTTTACAAATACCTGCCTGGATATGGATTTATCAACTTGTACAATATAAAGCTAATGAAATGTCATGCCAAGTCTGTTTGGCTTATAACATTTTAAGTGTTTAAATAGATGTTCATAGAAAGAACATACATGTAGTTAGCACAAGCCTTAAAGGTAAAGACCAGTTATGGTCATGCGATTGCATTGTGAAAGAAACGTTGTGGAATCGATCAGAAAAGGTTGATCATCTAGCATCTAGCATCTGCAAGGTTCTGGAATCATCAAAATGATAAGAAATTTGGCCCATTCTTCGTAAAGTTACAAGCACTATACACAGAAAGATGTATATGGGACTACCCTATATCTCTCACAGACCATGAGAGAAACAAATTTACCAAATATATGAATTAGTAGGCGGTTTCCCGGCAAATTTTTTATCATCATGTATTAGTCAAAACATATTCTTTCACATGATTGGTAATGAGAGCTTCCATTTCATTTTTTTTTAAATTGGGGCGTTTCCAATACTGGTCTTTACCTTTAATAATATTTTTCACTTTTCAATAATCAAATATCTACATGGTCTAGAAAGGCAAGACCACAACCATGAAGATATAACAGACTTAAAAAGTAGGTCAACCAAAGGTTTGTTTGTTTTATTTTTATGATTTGTTTCCATGGAGATGGATAAAAATTGGTTATAATTGTATTTGGATTGTGGTCATAATGAATTTTCTATGAGATAAGACACAATACATCATGAAACGGCTCATATTTGACAGCTATTCCGACTCAAAAGCTCAAAAGCTAAAAAATTTGGAATCATTTTCTGATTCTAGTGTTTCAAGTAACAAAACAAAAAAGTTGAAACAACAGAAAATGACCTGATAAAATCTCGTCTGGAGATGAGAAACCAGAGACAAATTTCTAATCCACTTTTTCAATAAAAGAATGCATGAAAATGCAGACAGCTGAAATACAGTAGAGTAATTCAATACAGAGTTTAATACAAAGAATTATGATGCCCTTTTGATTGTGCTCCTACTATAATGCACTTCAAGGAAATGGCAATTTTATAAAATATAAAATTATTCTTTTAAATCCTCTTTGATGGCAATAATTTTGCTCTCTGAAACCCAATTTTACATAGGCCTGATCCTATAAGTTCATGTTGTGTAGTTTAAATAGCCATGATACTTTTGTAAACTCATGTCATAAGAGGTTATAATCCAATCAAATTTCTTTAAAATTACCCTCAACCGACATTGATATTGACAAGTTTTAGATCTACTTATAGTACCAAAAGTAACCAAAACAATCTTGAGCAGAATATTTACAATTACATTTAGTAAGATTTTTTTGTTCACTTATCGGTAATAAAAAAAGAGATTTTGATTGCAACTGTAAAATCTCAGACGAATCTCACAAAATGCTACATGTACATGTGTGAAAAGCCTTACAGTCCCAGATATATCACAGAATAAAGATATACGTAATGCACAATCAGACATTTTGCAGGTTTCTTTAGTATGAGGGTAGGATTAACTAGGATTAAAGAGGGCAAGCTATTCAGTGAAATAGACCACCTAAATCTCTTTTCTCATTCAAGACAAGGATAAATCCCTGAACCCAAACCACAGGAAAGAGGGGCTGCCTGGTGAGTCATTTCATTTCAAAGATTAAAAAGAAAGAAAAAAATTGGCAAAACACCTGAGAAAAAGAATGATAAAGAGAAAGATGGAGAGAGAAACGGAGAGAGAGAGAGACACACACACACACACACACACTAAAATAAAAAGAAAAAAAGAAAAGAGTGTGTGGGGGGAGGGGGGTTGTAAAAAGATTCAGAAAGAAAAAAGAAAAGTCGGGGAAAAATACATTTTCTATGTTTATCTGTGATTTGTTCTCTTTTGTAAGTTGTTTTTAACATTTAGACCTAACTTGCCTCTAATTACAACATAATCACCCCTATTGTAACATTCTACACTTCTAAGATATCCAAAGTCCCTGAAGTACAATTGAAAAATTAGACTATTCATAGGGCCACTCCACAACGGACCATAGTCTAACACCATCTCATGTTTAAGTAATACAAGTCATGTAACTTGATGTAAGTAAGTGGGGTCTCTTTGAAGAAAAAAAGTAATTTTCCACACAAACAAACGATAGAGAAAAGAATGTTGCACAATGATGTGAATGTCTGGAAGGTATCCAAAAGCTTGGAGTGGTGACTCACACACAAAACCTGGAAGGACAGGTCACTGAACTAATATATATATCCAGTGCATAATTACATTAATATTTTAACCATTCTTTCTGGCATCAAATTAGAAGCTGAATTTTATTCAACACTTTTTTTTCTTGCCCCCCCCCCCCCGTATATATATTCAAAATATTAAACAGTTCTCGAAAAGCTTTGCCAAAATGCTATGACAAAGAAAAATGCTTCTTGAATAAAT